CATTGTTGATGTGGAGCTGTGATCATCTTTAGAGGGAGAGGCGTTCTGACTTTGAGTATTCTCAGCTTTTTTACGCTGGTTTCTTCCCGTCATTGTAAATTTATCCTCCTGTCGTCTTTGAAATTACCAACTTTCAGATTAGGTCTCTTGAGTGGACGTCCAGGTTGTTAGTTCCCAGGGCCAGAGCAGCGGCGTTAAAACTGATGGTGATTTTCTGCCCAGGATTCTCCTGTCTGGCTTCCTTCTTGTTTCCGTAGTAGGCGACTCTGCCTTCCCGGGGCTCCAAACCTCGGTCAGAAGGGGAACCGGTCCTGTTTACTCTGCGCTGAGCGCTGCCGCGCCGAGGTGCCGGCGGAACCGCTGCGCCAACCATGAGAGTCGCGCTGGCGACTCATGTGTTTCCACCACTGGGGGATCTTCTGCTCCGTGAGCGACCAGACTTTGTCTGAAAGTGTGGCGTCCTCTAGTTCTCCATGCCTTCCCTGAGAGCTGCAATCCCAGGATGTTAGCGATCGGCCATCTTGGATCGTTCTCCCATCTGCCATGTATTAATCTAACAGCTTTACTTCTCTTAACTAATCTAATTCTCCTTTAAAAATTTTATCTTCATGACATTCAGTAATTCTCTTGACTATCCCATAAAACAGGCAATTATCATTGCCATTTTAAAAATGAGGACATAAGAGAAGCTAAGTAAACTTGCTCTAGATTGCAAAATATGAATGATGGAGATGGGATTCAAATCATATTTAGGGACATTTCTTTCCTTCCTTTGTAGAATGTGAAATTCTTGTAAGCATGCCCTTGTCTTGTATATCATCATACCCTTCCTCCCCAAATCGCCAGTGCCTAGCACAGTGTAACATATGTCAAAATTTATATCTACTCAAATAGTGAAGTATTTAATTTGACCTCATTTAAACTGTTAATTCGTCAATTCAATAAACTATTGATTGATGTTTATATATAAGGTAGTTTATAAACCTGCTTTCAATCCTTAAAACTTGCTTTATTACAAAGCAAGTAATCCTATTTTACAGGAATCAAGTAACTTTTCCAAAACCACAGAGCTAGAAAGAGACAAATCTTAGGCCATTCCAAGGGCCACACACTTGAACCAGGCTTTTTTTTTTTCTTTTTCTTTTTGAGACAGAGTTTCGTTCTTGTCATCCAGGCTGGAGTGCAATGGTGCCATCTTGGCTCACCGCAACCTCTCCCTCCTGTGTTCAAGCGATACTTCTGCCTCGGCCTCCCTAAGTAGCTGGGATTACAGGTCCGTGCCACCATGCCGAGCTAGTTTTTGTATTTTTGTAGAGATGGGGTTTCACTATGTTGGTCAGGCTGGTCTTGAACTCCTGACCTCAGTGATCCACCTGCCTTGGCCTCCCAAAGTGCTGGGATTATAGGCATGAGCCACTGTGCTTGGCCTAAACCATCCTGTGCAACATAGTTCCTGTTCTCAAAGACCTCCTAGTGTGATAGGGATAATGGTGACCAATTACACTGCAATGTGGTAAGTGCTAAGTAGAAACCTGAGGGCCAGGCATGGTGGCTTATGCCTATAATAATAACACTTTGGGAGACTAAGGCAGCAAGACTGCTTGAGGCCAGGAGTTTGAGACCAGCCTGCACAACATGGCAAGACCTTGTCTCTTCAAAAAATACAACAATTAGCCAGGCATGGCGCCACATACCTGTAGGCACACCTACTGGAGAGGCTGAGCTGGGAGGATCACTGGAGCCTGGGAGGTTAAGGATACGGTGAGCCATAATCATGCCACTGCAATCAGCCTGGGCAACAGAGTGAGACCTGTCTCAAAACAAAGTAATAGCTAGGGTCTGGGGCAAGCAGGAAAGTTAAACAGATAACTAAGTAAGCCTTTTAGGATAAATAGAAATCTTCTAGTAGAGAATATTGTTCTTTGACCTCATCAGAACCCTGATTTATTGGCTTCTATTTTCTTCCAATCTATCAGCCCTCCTCTTTTTCTTCAGTTTTCTCCCAATCCAGCTTAGATTCCATAGATCATCATTCCAACAACACCCTAAACTCCCTTTAACTCTGTCTTTGTATTTACCTATCTGGCAGTACCTCTACCCTGGTCAGGGACAGTTGCAGATAACAGAACCCACTTAAGCAGAAACATATGTACTGCAATAAAAGACTCTGGCAGAACTTCCAGGAACACCTAACCCACAAAATAACACCACCTTTGCCACAATCCAAAAGTTATGGCTATCACTGCAGCAAGTCACCAAACCAGGAAGCTATCAACTAGAGAACTCTACTGCCATGACTGGCAGCAAAACTGGACGACTCGCACCCTCCTTCTCTCCACATTTAACTCAGTTCCAAATTCAATTTTCACCTTAAGTGCAAGGGAGTCTAGAAAAATGATTTTTAGTTTTTCATATTTTTCAGTAAGAGAAGACACATTAGAGGTCAGAATGTGTCTGGAGCAAGCCAAGTCCTTGCCATACCCAGACAGGTTTTCTCCATGCATTCACTAAACCGCCTGATGTGATGGAAAAAACAAACTGATTTTTCTTCTTTGCATCCTACATTTTTCTAGTAAGCTCATTCTCCTACAGTCCACAATGACTTTCAAATGTTCGACAATATTCTAAAATTTCTCACAACTGGATCCTCAGTTGGATCCCGGATAATCCCTTATCCCCATCAGTTAGCATATCCTCTCCTCCTCTTTACAATCACATCTATGAAAAATACTGTATAGGTTCACTGCCTACATTTTCTTGTCCAAATCCTTGCCTCATATCTGGCTTTTGGCCCAATTAGACCCACAAAACAACTCTTGCTAAGGTTACCATGACCTCCATGATGATAAAAGCCAAAATATATTTTTCAATCCTCATGTTAAATTCTAGAAGTTTCTATCACAAATCATTCTTTTGCTTCTAAGACATTCCTCCAGTCCTTTCTTTCTTTCTCTAACTCTTGTAGGTTCATCCACCTGTTCTTCACCATTAAATGTTGGAACTAGTGAAGGTTCTGACTTACGTGACCTTACCCACACCTATGGCTCAATTTATGTATATACAAATTATCCCCAACTTTATATTCCCAACACAATTCCCTCTTGTGAGCACCAAAGCTGTATTTCAAACTGCCTCTTGGATGTCATGAATGACCCCACACAATCAATCAATCATTCAATGAAAACTGGTCTCAGCTGGGAGCAGTGGCTCAGGCCTGTAATCCCAGAACTTCCAGAGGCTGAGGCAGGCCACTTGAGGCCAGGAGTTCGAGACCAGCCTGGCCCATATAGTGAAACCCTGTCTTCACCAAAAATACAAAAATTGGACGGGCATGGTGGTGAGCGCCCGTAATCCCAGATACTGGGGAGGCTGAGGCAAGAGAATCGCTTGAACCTGGGAGGCGGAGGTTGCAGTGAGACAAGATCGCACCACCACACTCCAGCCTGGGCGACAGAGCGAGACCATGCCTAAAAAAAAATAAAAAAATAAAACTGGTCTCTAGTCATCTTCTAGTGTTCCCTATTCAGCTTGAGGGATTCAGTGATAGTGAGTGAATGGTACCACCATCTATTGAACTATATAAGCCAGAAACCTAGGCGTTATCTGTTATTGCTCTCTTCACTTCCTAAAATCAACCCATCACCAAGTCCCACCCGTTTTACCTCCTATATACCTCTGGAATCTGTCCAGTTCTCTGCAGTTCCACCCAGGTCTCAGTCCTCACTGACATCTCTAACAAGAATTACTACATATCCTAAGTGGTCTATATACAGCCACAAGGGCTTCCTCAACCCCAATCTGTTCACACCACTGAGCCCGAGGAATCAAGCCCCCTCCTCCACCACACCCCACTGGGGGAAGACGGCTCAGTGGTATCTCATCCGTTTTAAAATAAAAGCTACAAATTTCTGCAAGGTCTGACCGCTATCACATAGTTTCATCTTGTGCCATACTCCCCTTCATTCTCTTTGTACCGGCCACACTGGTTCTTTGTGCTTTAGGCCGTTTTCCTCCCGAGTGCCTCAGGGCTTGGGAGGAAAATGAACAAGTAGTTCTCTATGGAAGGTTCTGCCTTAGCCTCTTCACCTAATTAATTCCAATTCTTCCTGCAGCTACCAGCGCAGGCATCTTTTCCTCTGAAAAACCTGCATCAGGCAGCACTAGAGGCACTTCCATGTATTAGTGAGGTCACTGTTTAACGTTTTCCCCACCAGACTTAAACGCCTTGAGAGTAGGGACCGTGCCTGGTTCACAACGTATCCCCAACGCGCTGCACAATAAATATCAGCTGGACGATTGAGGAAATGACCACGTTCACGGGCATGAGTCAAATTTCTCAACAAGACTGTGTCTGGAGAAGGAGCCGGACATTTCCTTCATCACGGTCTCTCTCAGCGGGGCATAGAGTAGGCCCTAACCAAAAACTGCAAAATCAGTGGCAGAAACAAGTCAGCCTCCTCGGCCAAATAGGGCACCGGTGGAGGCTGGACACAGGCCCTTCTCCCTGGGAATGCCCGGCACAGGACTGGCCACGATGGGCGCTCTTGAAAAAGGGAGCCGCGGGGGCTCGGTCCTGCCGCCGAGACCCCAAGGCTCCGCTCCTGCCCGGAAAGGGAGCCCAGGCTACTACTTACCAGAGCTGGGGACTCGGGGCCCGCCTCCCACCCCTCGCTATCAGCACCCTCAGCTGAGAAGGGCAGGTTCAGACTGCACAACAGAGGCGTTGCCTCCACACTCAGACAGCCACCCACCCCGCTCTTCCTCATACGTACTAGGCGTCAGCTCCCGGTCCCCAAATCGCGGCGTTGAAGTAAACGCCGAACCCAGTCAGCCTGCGTGTTTCCACCCACAACACCCAGCGCGCCTAGGAAGGTCGCCAGCTCCGTTCACCAATCCTGGAATCGCGCTCTCATGACGTCAGAAAGATAGGCCCAGTAACAAGAGACTATCTGGAGGGCGGTGCAAATGGGAATATTGAAAGCCGATTGGTTCTTCAAGCTGGAAGTTGTGGAGGAAGGACTAAGTTGAAACCAATTGCGTGGCGCCTGAGGGCTGTAGCGCGTTCAGTGGCGGCGCTGAAGAGACCGGTTGCCGCCATGATAGAACAGCAGAAGCGTAAGGGCCCGGAGTTGTCGCTGGTCCCAGTCAAGCGGCAGCGCCATGAGTTGCTGTTGGGAGCGACGGGGTCGGGCCCCGGAGCCGGGCAGCAGCAGGCGACACCGGGAGCTTTGCTGCAAGCGGTAAGTGAAGAAGCAGGCGGCCTTTGGCCCTCAGCTCATCTTCCTCTCCCTTCAAAGCGCTGTGTCTGGTGGCCCTGCACCGACCCTTTCCCGCATTGCGGGGGCAGAACGAGAGTTTCCCCCTAAAGTTAAAGCACATAAACACTAAGCGCCCCATAGTTTGCGGATACTCCGTACATGTTCCCCTGTTTGGCGCTCGTTTTCAGCCTCTCGACTGCCCTGTGAGGTGGCTTTAGAAGTAGAGTTGAATTAGAACCTTGGGCTCAAAACCCGGGCCCGGGTTTGAGCATCCTAACTCACATGGATCTAGCTAGCGTAGAACAAACGTTCAAAAAAGTTTGTAGAATGAACGAGGGAGGGAGGAAAGAAGGGAAATGATTGGGGTTGGTTGCTTTTCCCTTTATTTTTCTGCGCTAGTATTAACAATTAAATAGCAGCTAACATTCTTGGACCCTTGTACTAAAGTGTTTCCCATGTGAAATATCTATTAATCTTGGTAGCAGCCTGTTAGGAAGGTTATTAACCCATTTTGCAGATGGAAAAACAAACTTACCAAGTACATGATAGAAACAGATTTTGAACTGAGAAACCATGCTCCTAACTATTTTATAAGATAGAAATCGTGATCACACTTCCAGTGTCCTGTTTAGGCTCACATGAGGAAATATGAGTGTCTTCTTTCTCGTGTTCTCAACAAATCCTGCTGGCACCGTCCTCAAAATAAATCTAGAATTGCTACTTCTCCCATCTCCATCACTGCCTCATGGCCTAAGCCATTGTTACCTCAACTGGCATTTTTGTAGTAGGGTCCTAACTGGTCTACTTTCTGCCTTTGGACCGGCACCTGTTACCAAGCCAATAACCAGATGAATCCTTCTAAGTATCGGATCACGTTATCCTCTGCAGAAAACTTTCTGGTGGCTTTCTACTTCACCCAGAGTAAAAACCAAAATTCTTGTAATCATTTGCCCTCTTTCCCTTTACCTCTCTGACCAGTTTTTCATTGCCCACCTGGCTCCAGTTACACTCTCTTCCAAGCCTCGCCTCAGTCCTTTGCATTTGCTGCTCCCTCTGCGGGGATAGCTCTTCTTCCCAAATGTTTACAAGGGAAGAAGAGCAATCTCCTTCTACTAAGCTCCTTCGAATATTTGCCCAAATATAACTTTTTCAGTAAGGGTTTTCCTGACCACCCTATTGTAAATTGCAATACCCTGTACTCTGGAACCCACATTGCTACTTTCTTTCTCTCTTTATTTTATTTTATTTTTTTTAGAATCTCCGTTTGATGCCCACTTGCTTAGTGCAACCTCCGCCTCCAGGGCTCAAGTGATTCTCCTGCCTCAGCATCCTGAGTAGATGGGACCACAGACACTACTAATTTTTTTTTTTTTTTTTTTGGTAGAGACAGGATTTCACGCAATCCACACACCTTGGCCTCCCAAAGTGCTGGGATTACAGGCATGAGCCAACATGCCCATCCTTTCTTTCTTTCTTTTTTTTTTTTTTTTTCTTTTTTTGAGACAGAGTGTCACTCTGTCACCCAGGCTGGAGTGCAGCGACATGATCTTAGCTCACTGCAACCTGCACCTCCTGGTTTCAAGCAATATTTGCCTCAGCTTCCCGAGTAGATGGGATTACAGGCGCCCACCACTACACCTGGCTAATATTTTGTATTTTAGTAGAGATGGGGTTTTACCATCTTGGCCAGGCTGGTCTTGAACTCCTGACCTCATGATCCACCCATCTCAGCCCCATAAAGTGCTAGGATTGCAGGCATGAGTCACCATGCCCGGCCCATCCTTTTTATTTTCTATAGCACATGACAGCAAGTACATATTTTGCTTGTTTTCTGTCATCCTCCCTCCTACTCTTCCCCTTTCCTACTGGAAAAGGGGATATTTTCAATATACCCCTTTCCTTTGTTTGTTGCTGTTTGCCCAGTGCCTAGAACATAACCTTTGTTGTTGTTGTTGCTTTTTTTATTTGAGGTGGAGTTTCGCTCTTGTTGCCCAAGCCAGAGTGGAACGGCGCAATCTTGGCTCACTGCAACCTCTCCCTCCCAGGTTCAATCGATTCTCCTGCCTCAGCCTCCCAAGTGGCTGGGATCAGAGGTCCCTGCCACCACACCTGACTAATTTTTGTATTTTTAATAGAGACGGGTTTTCACCTTGTTGGTCAGGCTGGTCTCGCACTCCTGACCACAGGTGATCCACCCAGCTAACTTTTATATTTTTAGTAGAGTCGGGGTTTCACCATGTTGTTCAGGTTGGTCACAAACTCCTGACCTCAGGTGATCTGCCCGCCTCAGCCTCCCAAAGTTCTGGGATTACAGGTATGAGCCATCATGCCCGGCCTGCACATAGCATTTTGTAAAAATAAGAATATGGCTGGGCGTGGTGACTCACGCCTGTAATCCCAACACTTTGGGAGGCCGAGGCAGGCGGATCACCTGAGGTCAGGAGTTCGAGACCAGCCTGACCAACATGGTGAAACCCCAGCTTTACTAAAAATACAAAAATTATCTGAGTGTGGTGGCAGGCACCTGTAATTCCAGCTACTCGGGAGGCTGAGACAGGAGAATTGCTCGTAGCCATTAGGTGGAAGTTGCAATGAGCCGAGATCATGCCATTGTACTCTAGCCTGGGCAACAGAGCAAGACTCCTTCTCATAAAATAAAATAGAAATAAATAAATTAATATAGTAGAAAGTACTGAAGACATTTGGGGATTTGGGGTAGTATACTTCTCCCATTTGACAAGTGAGCATATCAGCCCAGGTGTAGATGAATTGCCCAAATGTTGCCTGAGCATCCAAGACCATAATCAAAACTACTTCACTCATGCTGGGGATCTCTGTGCTATGAAAAAATAAATAAAAATAGGCTGGGTACTGTGGCTCAAGCCTATAATCCCAGCACTTTGGGAAGCCAAGGCAGGCAATCACTGAGGCCAGGAGTTTGAGACCAGCTTGGCCAACTTGGTGAAACCCCATATCTACTAAAAAGACAAAAATTAGCTGGACATGGTTGTGCACACCTGTAATCTGGGCTACTCTGGAGGCTGAGGCACCAGATCCCTTGAACCTGGAAAGCAGAGGTTGCAGCGAGCCGAGATCATGCCACTGCCCTCCTGCCTGGGCGACTGAGTGAGAGACTGTCTCAAAAAACAAAACAAAATTAAAAATAAAACCATTTCACCCAGTACTCCGTACCGTGCAGGATTCTTGGGAAAGTTAGTTCCGTCCTTCATTAAATGAGCCAGGAGAAGTACAGTGGCTTATTCCTATAATCTCATTGCTTTGGGAGGTCAAGGAGCGGGGCCAGGAGTTTGAGACCAGCCTGGGCAACGTAGCAAGACCTCATATCCACAAAAACTGAAAAAATTAGCACAGCATGCTAGTGCGTGCCTGCAGTCCTGGCTACTCAGGAGGCTGAAACAGGAGGATCACTTGAGCCCAGGAGTTTGAAGCTGCAGTAAACCATGATCTCGCCACTGCAGTCCAGCCTAGGTGACGATGTGAGATCCTGTACCCCGAAAAAAATTGGTTATACAACAAGAGCCAAGAGAATGAACAAGAGAGTCATTATAAGAGACAGATACTGGAAAGTTTCCGAGAGTACCAAATTGGAGGCATTCATGTGAGAAGAGAGGCCATTCTCTAAATCAGATGAAATCCACTTAATCGTTTTTTTGCTCCACTCCCTACCCCTAATATTGTAACCTCCTTTGCCCATATGCAGTAGTTACCGTGTGCTTCTCTTTTGTTTAGGGACCTCCAAGGTGTTCCTCCCTTCAAGCCCCAATCATGCTGCTCTCTGGACACGAAGGGGAAGTATACTGCTGCAAGTTCCACCCCAACGGATCCACCTTAGCATCTGCAGGATTTGACCGACTGATATGTGAGGCATAGTTTTTAAATCTGGAATAATTTCTTCTGCCAGATAGTGATTTTTTTAAATTTTTGGGTACCACAGAAGGTGTCAGTCTATTGGCAGCATAACAGGCTGCATGACTAATATGCTAAAATTGGGTCATGAATATGCTGATCTTGGATGTAGAACTCGGGGTCCATGGGGCAAATACAGAAGGAGTTATTTTACTAGTTGGAAAGTGAATCGTTCTGGTTCGAGAATATCTTCCTTATAGAGGCAAATCTCCGGTTGATTTGCCAAGACACTTAGCAATCTAGACGTAACAGGTTAACGGGAGTAATGAGGAGATAAATACCTTTTCTTTTCCCAAAGGTATAAGGTCCTCTTAATTCACACCCAGAATCCTAGCTAGCATATAGGAAAGTAGGAATCCTAAAGTGGTAACTCCCTTAAATTATCTACCTGTGCATCATTAGGATCTGCTACTAGATTTCCATTTTTGAGAAATAGTAGAATTTGTCAATGCCCGTTTTTGAGAAGTAGAAAAAGTTATTTCATTTATATTCCAGCAAATGAAGCCAGAATGAAAAAAGAATCATATACTTCTGTTAGCTACTCTTGCCAGATTATGAGATGAAATGAGTTCTTTGGCTGTTTTCTGTTAACCCTTTGCCTCAGGTGGATGATACCCATCTTCACTGCCCATTTTGATTTGGATATTCTGGCTCTGTGATCCTTAAGTTTACTTGTGGCCAAACGTCTGGATGGCTATAGGATCTTTGCAGAACATACATGAATTATTGATACTCCTTTTTTTTTTTTTTTTTTTTTTTAAAAACAAAAAAATTTTTTTCTTTGTTTAAAGATGGGGTTTCACCATGACAGCCAGGCTGGTCTTGAACTCCTGACCTCAGGTGATCCACCTACCTCGGCCCCCCAAAGTGGTAGGATTACAGGCGTGAGCCACCGCGCCAGGCCCGATATTCTTAATTTTGAAACTACATAGTTTTTTTGTTGTTGTTTGGTTGGTTGGTTTTTTGTTTTTTGTTTTTGTTTTGAGATGGAGTCTCACTCCGTCACCCAGGCTGGAGTGCAGTGATGCCATGTAATCTCTGCCTCCTGGGTTCAAGCGATTCTCGTGCCTCAGCCTCCCAAGTAGCTGGGATTACAGGTACCCACCACCACACCTGGCTAATTTTTATACTTTAGTATAGATGGGGTTTCACCATGTTGACCAGGCTGGTCTCCAGCTCCTGACCTCCAGTGATCCACCCACCTCAGTCTCCCAAAATGCTGGGATTACAGGCAGGAACCACCACGCCCAGCCCGAACTACATAGTTTTATCAGTGGAAAAATAGTGTCATCTGTAGGTACCACTTATGTCTGTGGGCGATCCTTAATAACACTTAGAACAAACTTGACGCTTTGCTAGACCAAGCTCCCTCAGGATAGCAGATGTGTCTGCTCATTTACCCTAGCACCTGACATGTAGGTACTTAGTACATATAGAATTAATAAATGTTATATAAAGTCACTACCATGTGAACTTTAATTATGGCCACCTTATGTTTTCCATTAAGTGCTGTCATTTGGCAGTCTGCTTTCAGACTCGGAGCTAACTTTAAAGGTTGGGTGCTGGCTGGGTGTGGTGGCTCATGCTGGTAATCCTAACACTTTGGGAGGTTGCTTGGGCAACATGGTGAAACCCTATCTCTACTAAATACAAAAAAAAAAAAATCAGCTGGATATGGTGGCAGCCCCTGTATCTCAGCTACACAGGAGGCTGAGGCATGAGAATTGCTTGAACCCAGGAGGCAGAGGTTGCAGTTAGTGGAGACCGTGTGACTGCACTCCAGCCTGGGCAACAAAGTGAAACTCTTGTCTCAAAAAAAAAAAAAAAAAAGTTGGATGCTTTTTTAAAGTTACAGGAGAAAAAAAATAAGGTTTTAAAAAATTATATCTGTTAGGTTTTTTTTACCTTATAAAAATATTGCCATTATTTTTAGTGTCAAGAAAATTGGTCTACTGTTAAAACCAGTAGTGTTCCAAAGAGTATAATTTGAGATTTTTTTTTTTTTGAGACAGAGTCTTACTCTGTCACCCAGACTAGAATGCAGTGGCAGTATCTCCAGCTCACTGCAACCTCTGCCTCCCAGGTTCAAGCAATTCTTCTGCCTCAGTCTCCCGAGTAGCTGGGATTACAGGTACCTGCTGCCATGCCTGGCTAATTTTTGTATTTTTAGTAGAGATGGGGTTTCGCTATGTCAGCCTGATCTCAAGCTCCTGACCTCAAGTGGTCCACCCATCTCGGCCTCACAAAGTGCTGGGATTACAGCCATGAGCCACTGCGCTGGGCCTGAGAACTGTTGTTCTGATAAATTCGTAAGTATCCTTTGCCTAGTAATGCTCATAAAACCCCTGTCTCCCTAACAGTGTTATGGAATGTCTATGGTGACTGTGATAATTATGCCACACTGAAGGGACACAGTGGAGCAGTGATGGAACTGCATTACAACACAGATGGCAGGTGAGTATTCTGCATAATGGAATGACAGCTGCTTCTCATACTAATTCTTCTTGGTGTCCTTTCACCTTTATTCTCAGGAGATCTTGCTATCAAAATCTACTAATTTTGGGTAGCTACTTTTATTATTCGATTCATCACTGTCATCCCAAGTGAGGTGTTTATTGTCTGTGTATGCAAATATAAAGAGATCATATCTGTCATTTCTACAACCCAGACAAACTTGTGTGTTTTTTTTTTAAGACATAAAATGTAATTTTTTTTTTTTAAGATGGGGTTTCACCGTGATGGCCAGGCTGGTCTTGAACTTCTGACCTCAGGTGATCCACCCACCTCGGCCTCCCAAAATGCTAGGATGCGTGAGCCATCGTGCCCGGCCAAAATGTGATTTTTATATGTAGGCTGGAGTGCAGTGACATGAACGTGACTCACTGCAGCCTCAACCTCCTGGACTCAAGGGATCCTCCCACCTCAGCCTTCTAAATAGCTGGGACTGCAAGCCCACACCTCCATGCCCAGCTAATTTTTAAAAATTATTTGTAGGGACATAGTCTCGCTATATTGCTCCTGAGCTCAAGCAGTCCACCTGCCTCAGCCTCCCAATAAAGCTGTGATTACAGGCATTAACCACCAAGTGTGGCCTGAAATTATTTTTATTATAAAAATCATTTCTTTTGAGTAACCCAAAAAAGCAGAAAGATGAAAAAATAGTCCATGTTTCTGTTACTCCAAAGATAATCACTGTTAATTTTATACTTTTTTCTAATGCCTTTTTTCTACTCAGAACTGTTTAGTTTTTACATATTTATTAGAACTATGTATACAGTCTTGTTTCTGCCTTTTTCTCTTTAACATTGCTCAGCCAACATCTGATGTCATAAACATTTTAATGACTATATTATTTTAGAATATATTATAGATAGCAAAGAAACCAAGCTATACAAAATTAATTCAGTTGTTAGATATCCTGGTAAACATTCATTGTTTTACTTTTTTTTTTTTTTTTTTTTGAGATGGGGTTCACTCCTGTTGCCCAGGCTGGAATGCAGTGGCACAATCTCAGCTCACCACAACCTCTGCCTCTCAGGTTCAAGCGATTCTCCTACCTCAGCCTCCCAAGTAGCTGATTACAGGCACACGCCACCATGCCTGGCTAATTTGTATTTTTAGTAGAGATGGGGTTTCTCCATGTTGGTCAGGCTGGTCTCGAAATCCCGACCTCAGGTGATCTGCCTGCCTCGGCCTCCCAAAGTGCTAGGATTACAGGCGCGAGCCACCACGCCCAACTTATTTTACATTTCTGACCTCTAAAACCCAATTGATGGGTGCGCCATCAGTTGGCACATAGCATTGTATACATTTTAAATAAAGAAAGCATTAGAAAGCTCGGCACAGTGGCATGCATTTATAATCCCAGCTATTTGGGAGGCTGAAGCAGGAGGATTCCTGGAGCCCAAGAGTTCAAAACCATTCTGGGCAACACAGTGAGACTCCAGCTCAAAAAAATGAAAAAAGAAAGCATTATAAGGTCAGTTATTACTTAGAAATCATCCTCAGAGGCTGGGTGCAGTTGCTCATGCCTGTAACCCTAGCACTTTGGGAGACTGAGACAGGAAGATTGCTTAATCCCAGAAGTTGAAGACTAGCCTGGACAACATAGTGAGACCTTGCCCCTACAAATGATTTTTTAAAAGTAGCTGGGCATGGTGGCACAGGCCTGTGGTCCTAGCTACTCAAGAGGGACCACAGCCTGAGGTGGGAGGATCACTTGAGCCCAGGAGATCAAGGCTTCAGTGAGCCATGATTCCAGCCTGAGCGACAAAACAAGATCTCATCTGAAAAAAAACTGTAAGAAAGAAATTGTCCTCAGAGACAAAAGAAAAAGTTTGATAAAGAGAAAGGATTGGAGTTACTCAGTTGTCAGGTCCAGAGTTGGCATAGTCTGTCTTAGCTCTGCAGCACCAGGGAGTGATTAAGCATTTCCAAGTGAGAGGGTGTCTTATTTGTAAAACGTTACCGATCACAAAAGAGAAAAAGATAGAACAAAACCTATCACAAAAGAGAAAAGAACAAACTGCTATGTTAGATGTATGTCATGGGGACGCAAAGAAGGGGAAGTTTTAAAACTTCATAGGGGTAGATCTTATGTCTGGGCCTAGAGCACAAATAGGATTTTGGTGGGGTGAGGCATTCCAGCCTCATGGGGCAAACTCGCATAGCACAACAGGTCAGTGATCTTGAAGAGTTTGGCATCTTTTGGCAAGTACAAAAGATAGTTTGTCTTCACTTATTTCTTTTTTGTTTTTCCTCTTACTTTCTAGTATGCTCTTCTCAGCTTCCACAGATAAAACTGTGGCTGTGTGGGATAGCGAAACAGGTGAGAGGGTTAAAAGGCTAAAGGGACATACTTCCTTTGTGAATTCCTGTTATCCAGCCAGGAGAGGCCCTCAACTTGTCTGCACTGGCAGTGACGATGGCACAGTTAAGGTGGGTATTGTCTGTCTGTGTTGCAGTTTCTGAGGTGACGTAATGTGAACCTTATTTTGCCTCTCCACTTGTACTCTACCTTCCTCTGCACACTTAATTTTAGCAGTCATTTCCAATAACAGACACTTGAAATTTTTCCCCCATTTAAAATAAAACATTTAATATGTGTTTTAATTACCCTACAGAACAATAATAGAACCATAGAATAAATTGTTACTTGGAATAAAGTGGACCATGTAGATTTGGTTCTTGGCTCAGCTGTCAATTGTGTGAGGTTGGGCAGTTCCTTTTCTGAGCCTGTTTTTTAATCTTTAGAACAGGGACAGTAACATGCACATCTTTCAAGGCTGTTATGAGTATCTCTACCAACAGGGAGGCAGCAAAACAAAAAAACAAACGGCTGTTTTGAGATTACAGACAATATATAAAAAGTTAAGTAAATGGTTTTAGTATAGCACAAGATGGGAACTTAAACATCATTTAATCACATCGTTTCCAGCCTATCTTTATATCATCATATGAAGAACCTGTTAAAAATACCCAAAGAATTTGGTTCAGTGGATCCGAAAAGGGAATCAGGACTTATTTCATGTGTCCTTCAAGTGATTCATTGTAGCCAGTCTGACATTCTGGGAGCCACTGATCTCATTGAGCATCCTCATTTTACAAATAAGGAAACTGAGGCCTAGAAATAACTCAGGCACACACGGACACAGTGCATCATAGTACCACATTGGATTCTTTCTTTCACATGAATTTTGGACTCTGGTTTATATTTTAATTATTAAACAGGGAGGGACTTCAAAAGAATACATCTGGGAAACACCCCATACTTACTGCTTTTTAAATGAATATGCTTTTTTTTTTTTTTTTTCTTTAAGACAGGGTCTCACTCTGTCACCCAGGCTGGAGTGCAGTGGCACAGTCTTGGCTCACTGCAGCCTGCCTCCTGGGTGCAAGTGATTCCCCAGCATTAGCCTGTTGAGTAGCTGGGATTACAGGTTCCCATCACCACACCCGGATACTTTTTATATGTTTAGTAGAGACAGGGTTTCACCATGTTGGCCACACTGATCTCGAACTCCTGACCTCAGGTGATCAATCCATTTCGGCCTCCCAAAGTGCTGGGATTACAAGCATGAGCCACCACACTTGGCCGCGATGTTTTTCTTCTAAGTGGTTTTCCTGTGCCTAATCACTTGGGGCCCCTTGATGCTTGGATGGGAGGAGAGTCTGTGGTATAAGATTGGTTTCTAAATCAGAGCTCTGACCTAGATGTTACTGTAGTTTGAGAGTCTTAACAGTAGCTGATTTGCTAATTGGCATTTCAGAAGATAAGAGGTGGAAATGCTCCTAGTGAATTTTGTTAACTTTATTATTTAGGGCCTGCTATAATAAACATCTAGGAGCTATTTAAGTAGTAGAAAAAGTAGTCTTCCTTCTTTCACTTTTTTGCTTCTCTTCTGCCCGAATTAAACATGATTTGGAATAGTTACTTTTACCTCATTACTCAAGTTAATAGTTTTTTTAATGAGCAATATGTCATCACCTAAAGATGACTGCTTTTTAACCAGCTCCTATTTTAAATTTCAGTATATTTATATTTAAGGCATCATTAAACAACTTTTTGCAATGTACTTTTCAGTTACTTGGGAAGTTGGAATGCTTCATGTTACTGTTTTTTTGTTACTAGGTTGCAGGTACAGGAATTGAATAACTTCAGTTTAAAAGGAGAAAAGTCATGTTACTTTTTACGTTTCAGTTCTTAACAGAAAGTAGAGGTTCCCAACAGCACTTGCATTTTTAGTTTAGAAGTAGTGTTCTGGGCATTATTCAAACAGATCATTTTCAACTTTTTATCAAGTGCATTCTTCTAATAAAGTGAAATACTGTGTGTGTGTGTGTGTGTGTGTGTGTGTGTGTGTGTGTGTCTTCATATATATAAAAATTTTTCCCTTTCATGAGTATTTCAGTCCTAAAGCCAGTTATATAGGCCAAAGCAGGGAAGGTGCTCTAGTTGGAGGTGGGCCACAGTAGCCCAGGGTGGGGTGTCAGAACCCAAGTGTGGTAACGAGAGCATCCACACAGGGCAGGGAAGTACATTGTAGGGAGTAGTCAGAGGGTGAGAAAGGCATGTACAACACAGGGTAGGTAACCAGTGTGGGGAATTTGAGGGTGAGGGAGGGGCAGCAGCTCAACATGGAGAGTCAGTGCCTTAGTTGAGTGAAAGGGTCGTCTATTCATGAAGCAGTACGAGGAGAGTGTGGATGTCAAAGCCCGAACTCAGGGCATCCACACAGGGTAGAAGTAATTTGGTGTAGGGAGTCTGAGACTGAGCAAGATGATGACAGTATGCCCGGAGAAGTGCAGACTGGAAAGGAGCCATAGCAGAGTGATGAGAGTGTTCACACAGAGGAGTGATCCAAGTTGGGTAAGGAGGAGTCCCAGATAAGTTCGACCAAGAATAGGAATCAACAATTTAAATAGGGAAAGGAGGACAGCTATGCAGGGGAAGGATGGAAGAGAACATAGGAAACTGGTTGCATGCAGGAAGCGTAATCCAAGTAAGTGAATATATTGAGTTTAATGGAAGGCTGATTTCTCTCTCCGAGAAAGGAGTTACCAGTACAAAAGAGGAGAAAACTAAAATGTATCTTGTGTGAGGTGTAAGTGTAAACTCATGACATTAAGTATAGAGACAGATAGGTATAGAAAAAAGACATAAATGTGTGAGTATATAGGTGTGGGTGTACCTGACCGTCCACTTGAAAAGGTTTAGGAGCAACAAGACCCCATTAGCAATGAGCACCCCTTACTTCATGGGTCTTGGCCTTTAAATACTGTTTTCCACTAAAAGGAACCAGGGTTCCTATTTCAGGCCAGGGGCAGTGAAAGTAAAAGATAAGCCTGGAACATCTTGTGCAAGAAAACTTGTCAAAAGAACATCCTAACTAAATTATTTATTAAATCAACCATAGGTAGTAATGGGATGAGGCAAAATCATGAGCCATTTGCTAGGATACAACAAGAAGATGCAGCATCATTTCTGTGATATTCCTACCAAAGATGTATAACTTAAATCTAATCATGGGGAAACATAAGACAAACCTAAAATGAGGACCATAACTGTCCTGTAACTTTCAGAAGTGTTGAGTCATAAAACTCAAGAAAAGTTCAAGAGAGTCTTCCAGGCTGGAGTGTAAATTTAACATGATTCCAGACCAAATCTTTGTGCATTAAAAGACTTTTGGGATAGGTGGTAAAACTTGAGTGGGATTTGAGGATAAAATGGTGATAATGTATTTGTATTTCTTGATTGTAATGGTTATGTTGAGATAATGCAGGAGAACATCTTTGTAGACAAACACTATTTAGGAGTGGTAAGGGGCTGGGCTCAGTGGCTCATGCCTGTAATCTTAGCACTTTGGGAGGCTGAGGTGTGCGGATCACTTGAGGTCAGAAGTACAAAACCATCCTGGCCAACATGGAGAACCCTGTCTCTACTGAAAATACAAAAATGTTAGCCGGGCATGGTGGCAGGTGCCTGTAATCCCAGCTACTCAGGAGGCTGAGGCAGGAGAATTGCTTGAACCCGGGAGGTAGAGGTTGCAGTGAGTGGAGATCATGCTATTGCACTCCAGACTGGGCAACAAAGCAAGACTCCGTCTCAAAAAACAAAAAACAGAACAAAAATAAAGGAGTGATAAGGCATTAGGTAAGCAACTTACTCTCAAATGATTTAGACCAAAAAAAGTGTTCTTTTTTACTTCCAAGTTTTCCATAAATTTATGATTGTTTCAAAGTAAAATAATTATTTTATTTACATATTTACATTATTTTATTTATATACAGTTTATAAAATATATGAGATCCAAATTGTTAAGACCTTGAATTCCGAGTTAAGAAGTTTGGACTTGATTCTGTAACCACAGGAGGTGGGGAAGGGAGAGAAGTTGGGCATGTAAGAGAAGAGTGAAGCATTCTTTTTGGATCATATTTACATGAACAAAGAAAAAACTACGTTTCATCCTAAACCATGAGAATTGGGAGGAAGAGGCATCTTGGCACAGATCCTACTCAGACTCTTCTTGTCGACTACAGGATTGAATTTAAGCCTATGACCTTTACTAAGGTTCCATGGCTGATTCTTTGTGATGCCAGCCCTCTAAAACTTGGAACAGTTACCCCAAAGTCTTTTTCTTCTGAATGAAATGACCCATACTCTTAAAACATTTATTTGTGGTTCATCTTCTCCAGTGTGTCATTAATTTATTGAAGCATTTCTGAGTCCTCTCTCTCTCATCCACACTTTAAAAATGTAGAGCTATAAGGGTTTTTTTTGTTTGTTTGTTTAAGAGATGGGGTCTTGGCCAGGCACAGTGGCTCACGCCTGTAATCCCAGCACTTTGGGAGAGGGAGACAGAAGCAAACTCCTGAGATCAGGAGTTTGAGACCAGCCTGGCCAACGTGGTGAAACCCTGTCTCTACTAAAAATACAAAAATTAGCTGGCCATGGTGGTGTGAGCCTGTAAATCCTAGCTACCTGGGAAGCTGAAGCAGGAGAATCGCTGGAACCAGGAAGTGGAGGTTTCAGTGAACTGAGATTCTGCCACTGCACTCCAGCCTGGAGTGAGACTCTGTCTCAAAGAAAAAAAGAGAGAGAGATGGGATCTTGCTGTGTTGCCCAGACTGGTCTCAAACTCTTGCCTCAAATAGTACTCCTGCCTCAGCCTCCCTAATAGCTGGGATTACAGGTGCATGCCACCACTCCTGTCCTGTTTGTTTCTAAGTACAATCAAATTGCCTAGCTACAGTTGAGTATGGATATGGAGTTAATAAATAGAGTTGTTATACCTAATGTTCCTCTCCTTTCCTTTATTAATACATCAAGTAGCCACTGAAAAAGAATGTTAATTTTTTTAAACAAGGATGTATTTTAGTAATTGTAAAAAAATTAGCACATATTTTAATACCTTTAAGTTACTGCAGCATTGGTATAATAGAATCAGACAGTATTAAATTGTGGTCCGCATTTTGCTGGTGTTCATCAAGTCCATTTTCTTTTTGAGCATTAGTTTTCTCATCTGTAAAAGTTGGGGTTAAACTAAATAGTCTAAGCACAAAAGCTTTTAAATTATTTAAATCACAACCCACATTAAGGAATACATTTTATAATGTGACCCAGTGTACATCTTCCATACATCTATATCTAGTTATGAACCAACCCTGTCTATGTGACATTCTTTTATATCTTCTTTTCTATAATTTAATTAAGGTCAAATTTTGATAGCACTTTTTTTGATGACACATTTTTTTTTTAAATGTACAATTCAGTGGTTTTTAGTACACTCACAATGCGTGCAACTATTGTCATGATCAAATGCCAGAACATTTTAATCACCACAAAAGAAACCCCAAACCCATTAAGCAGTCACTCCCCTTTCCCTCCTACCTTCCAGTCCCTGGAAACTGCTATGAAATATAAATAGTGCCTTATAATATATGGCCTTTTGTGTCCAGCTTCTTTTACATAGCATAATATTTCCCAGGTCCATCCATGTTGTAACGTATATCAATACCAAATTCCAGCCAGACACAGTGGCTCACGCCTATAATCCCAGCACTTTAGGAGGCTGAGGTCAAGAGTTCAAGACCAACCCGGCCAACATAGTGAAACCCCATCTCTACTAAAAATACAAAACTTAGCCGGGCGTGGTAGCATGCACCTGTAGTCCCAGCTACTCAGGTGGCTGAGGCAGGAGAATCGCTTGAACCCAGGAGGCAGAGGTTGCAGCGAGCTGTGTTTGCACCACTGAACTCCAACCTGGGTGACAGAGTCAGACTCTGTCTTTTCAGATTCCTGGCTGGGCATGGTGGCTTGCGCCTGTAATCCTAGCACTTTGGGAGGCCAAGGCAGGCAGATCACAAAGTCAGGAGTGTCAGACCAGCCTGGCCAACATGGTGAAACCCCTGTCTCTACTAAAAATACAAAAATTAGCCAGGCGTGATGGTGGGCACCTGTCCCAGCTACTCGGGAGGCTGAGGCAGGAGAATTACTTGAACCTGGGAGGTGGAGGTTGCAGTGAGCCTAGATTGTGCCACTGCACTCCAGCCTAGGTGACGGAGCAAGATTGCATCATGGAAAGAAAAAAAAAATACTGGATTCCTTCATTTATGTTGTTTATATACCTAGGAGTAGGATTGCTGGGTCATGTAATTTTGTTTTACTTTTTGAAGAACAGGCAGACTTTTCCATGATAGTTGCACTGTATTTTATATTCTTATCCGCAATTTATGAGAATTCCAGTTTCTCTATATCCTCACCACTTCTTTGTTTTTGTTTTTTGAGACAGAGTTTCACTCTTGTTGCCCAGACTGGAGTGCAATTTTGCTATCTTGGCTCACCGCAACCGCCATCTCCTCGGTTCAAGCGATTCTCCTGTCTTAGCCTCCTGAGTAGCCGGGATTACAGGCATCTGCCACCACGCCCGGCTAATTTTGTATTTGTTACTAGAGACGGGTTCTCCACGTTGGTCATGCTGGTCTCGAACTCCTGACCTCAGGTGATCCGCCCACCTCGGCCTTCCAAAGTGCCGGGATTACAGACGTGAGCCACCGTGCCCAGCCTGTTTTTTTTTTTTTTTAAGCCATTCTAGTTGGCATGAAGTGGCATCTAATTGTGGTTTTGATTTGCATTTCCCTAATGACTTACGGTGTTGAGCATCTTTTCATGTTCTTGTTGGCCATTTTTATATTTTAGGAGAAATTATTTAGGTTCTTTGCCTGTTTATTAATTGGACTGTTCGTATTTTTGTTGTTGAATTAATAACAGTTCTTTATTTATTTTTTTCTTTTTTTAATATTATTACGGTTTTAGAGACAAGGTCTCGCTCTTTCACCCAGGCTGGAGTGCAATTCTGTGATCATAGTACACTACTGCACCCTTAAACTCTCAGGCTCAAGTGATCCTCAGCCTCCCAAAGTGCTGGGATTATAGGTATGAGCCACCACACCTAGCCAAGAGTTACTTATTCTTGACAGTAGATCTTACAAAGTCTAGTTATAAAGACCACTGTGTGTTTTTCTAAGAATCTTTTTTTTTGGAGACAGGGTCTCACTCTCACCCAGGCTGGAATACAGAGCCGCAATCAAGCTCACCGCAGCCTCAACCCCCCTGCCTCAAGCAGTTCTCCCTTCTCAGCCCTCCCAAGTAGCTGGGACTACAAGCATATACCACAACACCCAATTTTTTATTTTGTAGAGATGAGGAATCACCATGTTGCTCAGGCTGGTTGCTAACTCCTGGGCTAAAGCCATCCTTCTTCCTTGGCCTCCCAAAGTGCTGGGATTACAGGCATAAGCCACTGCACCCAGCCTTCTAATAATTTTATAGTTTTAGGTCTTACATTTAGGTCCTTGGTCCATGTTGAATTTTTGCATATCATGTGAGGCAGGGGCTTACTTTCATTCTTTGGTATGTGGTAGCCAGTTGTCTCAGCACAATTTGTTGAGAAAACTATTTTTTCCTTACATATGGACCATAGTTACTTGCTTCTTTGCATGCCTTATAATATTTTGTTGAAAACTAGGCATTTAAAGTGTGGCAACCCTGGAAATTAGGTATTCCCCAGAGCTGCTTGTTGTAGTCACTTGATTGTTTAGTGATTTTTTGTGGGTTGGGTTGGTCCGGGCAGGGAATGGGGGGAGGGTTTGTTGGTTGGTTGATTTGTTTGTTTTTGAGATGACTAATTCTGTAGCTCAGGTTGGAGTGCAGTAGTGCGATTTCAGCTCACTGCAACCTCCACCCCCTGGGGTTTGAGTGATTGTTGTCCCTGGGCTTCTTGAGTAGCTGGGGTTACAGATACACATCACCATGCCCAGCTAATTTTTGTATTTTTAGTAGAAACGAGGTTTTACCATGTTGTCCAGGCTGGTCTCAAACTCCTGACCTCAAGTCGGCCTCCCAGAATGCTGGGATTGTAGGCATAAGCCATCACACTTGGCCTGCTTAGTGACTTTTTTGAACTAGTTTTGTAAATTTTGCATTCTTTGTCCTTTGACCACTGAATTCTTTTTTTTATTTGCTTAGTGGTCAGCTAGTGAATGACAGAAGTTTCCTTAATTACCTACAACAACAATAACAAAAATTCTCCCAGTCTTTGCAGATTGTTTTTTTTGTACCTTAGAGGCTGCTTCAACTCCTTGCCATGCAGTTTCACTTCCTGTTTATGCAGAGCCTGAAGGTCAACTAGAGAGCTTAGGGCCTTCTCAGGTCTTTTCTAAACGTATGCCCAGCCCTGGGCATGCAAGTGGTCTAGATTGCCAGGGATAGGCTGGGCATGGTGGCTCATGCCTGAAACTTTAGCACTTTGGGAGGGGGAGGTGGACAGATCACTTGAGGCCAGGAGTTTGAGACCAGTCTGGTCAACATGCAAAACCCTGTCTCTACTAAAAATACAAAAATATGCCAGGCATAGTGGCACACACCTGTAATCCCAGCTGCTTGGGAGGCTGAGACATGAGAATCGCTTGAGCCCATGAGGTGGAGGTTGCCGTGAGCTGAGATCACATCACTGTACTCCAGCCTACATGACAGAGGGAGACCGTTTCCAGATAGATATATAGATAGATAGCCAACCAGGAATATTTCAGTGCCCTTCAAAGGTCTTATTCCCCAAATTGTCTTCTTCCCCGGCCCTTCCTCCCCAGGTTTTTTGGTTTGTAATTTTTCCCAAATGTTTTTCCTTGCCCCCAGGCACCAGAGGCTACTAATGTCCTTTCCTTTAAATGTTTTCAAGGAAAGTTCCAAGTTAGGTAAAATAAATGCAAGTCCTTTGAGCTCATCCTTCAGAGAGCCACCAGATAGGTAAAAATAAACAACTTTTATTGTTTATTCTTTAACAATAAGAAATAGGCCCCCTTTGCTTCCTCAGTACTAGGAAACCATCTAGGAATGTGGGTTATCTTCAAAGCCATTGCTGAGCAGGAGACAGAGCCAGCATAAGTTAAAACACTACAAAGCCCTTTTACTAGGGCTCAGGTGGTTTTTTGTTTCCCTTTTTCCTCATTAAGGGTTTGCCTGGTTATTATAAACTTTTGATTAGTTTCTAGAGTTCCAACAGTTGATTCTGACAGATTTTTGCTGGTTAATTTGCTGCTTTTGTGGAGGGACAAGCTTTTGTCATTGTTTATTATACTATTGTCACTGACATATCCTATTTTTTTTAATGTGGATTGTAGCCCACTAATGAGTTAGTATCTACAGTTGAAGAAACTGTCTGATAGTCTTGTTGTCCTAAAAAATATATGAACTAAGACTTTAGAGGAATTCCATTCTAAGAGTATGTTGATTTAACTCTGTTCACTTTAACAAAAGAGTCTGAAAATGTAACCGAAGTTGTTAACTTGCCTTCAAATATCTCAGCAAAATTGAAGACACTGCTTACCATGTGTGTTGTTAGGATATCCAGGAGTTTGTGAAATGGGATCCCAGTTACAGATGTGTCCACAAAGTCCTCGTACTTAGGGATATTTGTATTGTGCAGTTACTTCTTAGAATGATGTTACCTATAGACTCTTTTGTCCTTTGCTTCAGCTTTGGGACATCCGGAAGAAAGCAGCCATCCAGACATTTCAGAACACATACCAGGTGCTAGCGGTGACCTTCAATGACACAAGTGATCAGATTATTTCTGGTGGAATAGACAATGATATCAAGGTATGCTTGATGTTTATGATATACTTCCATTTCGTCTATCTGCACTTAGAAACGAATTTTTTCAAACTTCTGAGATTGTGGTAGCTTTGCACTTAATACCAATTGAAAGGAAAATAGTAACTTGAAACTTATTTTCTTTTTCTGCTATCTTGATTGACTTCCTAAATTAAAGGTTGTATTGCAGATCTTACAAATGCTGTTAGGGATCAGGCACTTAACGTGAAGTGTGAAATCTCTGAAGGGGACTGTTAAAAATAGAGTGCATTTCCTTTTAAAGACGTTCAAAAAATTTTTTTAACCATCTTAGTTTAATGAGAGCATTGAATCAGTTTGTGATTCTGTATCCTTATGTCTCACTGTGTTTTTCTTTTCGACACTGTGGAAAGGGAATTTTCTAAGTTTCTCTAAGAACGAGAGAAGGTAATATTAGAGAAAGAGGCAAGTAGACCTTATGGCAGTACAGTGTAGCTCAAACATTCAAGTAATTGACGGGTTCTAATCCCAGTTTCACCATTTTCTAGTTTTGTGACTTTAAGCACCTTCTTTAAGCCCTAATGGGACATGTCCTAATGTGTATGATACATTATATCATTTGTTGAGAACAGTGGCAAGAAAAACTTGGCTCCCCCCCACCCCCACAAGTAGAAAACTACTTGGGGTATTCTAAAGTAGCAAAACAGTATGTGTATATCATACACTGGTTAAAACAGTTCTTTAAGCAGGGGATATGTGACCCTGCCCCCATGGCTCCCTCGTGGAGAAACATTCTAGTTTGTCTAGTAGGCACCAGCTGCCTACTTTATCTTGGGTCTGTGAGAAAACACAGAACACCTGTTTGTTAATAATAATCACCTGTTCAGAGAGAATAACTACATGGGTTGGCATCTACTGGAGGCCTTCAGCCCGGAAGGCTGTCAGCCACCTGAGGCTCTCAGCTCAGAAGACTGTTGGCCTCCAATAGTCCCACTTTGCATTTCTGTCTGGGTGTGTGCTTCTTAATTCCTTCAGCGCCACCTGGGTGGGGGTCTCTACTGCCAAGCTGGTATTGGTAAAGCCCCTTAACTTGTGTGAATAGTGAGGCAGTAATAATAACAGAACAATAGCATCTACCATATAGCATTGTGGGGATTGAATGAGCCTGGTCATTAAGTACTTAGCAGAGTTCCTGGTCATTAAGTGCCAGTAAATGTGAAGTATTATTTTGGGCCTACAGAGCTTCTGTCTTCCTTTCCTGTTGGTTTCCTTGGAGATCTAAACGACTTTGACCTTACCTTCTGCTTTTTGGTGAGAATAGTAATTGTCAGGTACATACTCAATTTCCTGTGTTGTCCTTACCTAGAAATTATACTTTATTTCCATCCCTCATTGCTTCCTTTGCTGTTACTTTGGATGAAATACCCTTGCTTTTGGCTAGGCGCAGTGGCTCAGACCTGTGATTTCAGCACTTTGGAAGGCTGAGTCAGGCAGATCATGAGGTCAGGAAATCTAGACCATCCTGGCCAACATGGTGAAACCTTGTCTCTACTAAAAGTACAAAGATTAGCTGGGTGTTGTGGAACACGCCTGTAATCCCAGCTATTCGGGAGGCTGAGGCAGGAGAATCACTTGAACCCAGGAATTGGAGGTTGCAGTGAGCCAAGATCACACCACTGCACCCCTGCCTGGCTGTAAAGCGAGATTTCGTCTCAAAAAAAAAAAAGTATCCTTGCTTTTGTCTAAAGGTAGCCCTTTAAATGGGAGAGTTTCAATTCTTCTTCACTTCTTTCAACCTTTTCTTCTTTTCTACTTTCTTTTTTTTTTTGTTTTGAAAGCCAATTGTTCCTCTGCTTAAAGCTAGTGGGGTCATCACAAAAATCTACTTCCTTCTTGTGAGTATTTCATCAGGCTTAGGTCTCTTTTCTGGGGGGCAAAGTAAAATCTTTTTTCAACCCCACATTCCCTCCTGATATTGCCCTGTGAATCTTCCCCTTCACAATCAAGCTTCTTTTTTATTTATTTTTTATTATTTATTTATTTATATTTTTTTGAGAGAGAGAGTTTCCCTCTTGTTGCCCAGGCTGGAGTGCAATGGTGCAGTCTTGGCTCACTGCAACCTCCATCTCTGGGTTCAAGCGATTCTCCTGCCTCAGCCTCCCAAGTAGCTGGGATTATAGGCATGCACCACCATGCCCAGCTAATTTTGTAATTTTAGTAGAGACGGGGTTTCACCATGTTGGTCAGGCTGGTCCTGATCTCCCAACCTCAGGTGATCTGCCCATGTTGGCCTCCCAACGTGCTGGAATTACAGGTGTGAGCCACCATGCCCAGCCTAAAACTTCTTAAAAAGGATGATGATGGTAGTGGTGGTGATAATATTTTTATCATCATCATCTAACACATAATGCTTACTTTCTGCCACTTGTTCTCAGAGCTTTACATTATTAATTCATTTAAGCTTCACTATTGGTCTCCTCACAAATCTTAGAGACTTTGACCTTACAACTTCAGGGAATAAATACTACTGATGCAATTGTACAGATGAAGAAACAGCTAAAAGAGGCATAACAACCCAGGTTACACAGCTAATAAGTGACGGAACCTCAGTTCACATCCCAGAGTTTCATTCTAGAGTCATATTCTTAATACTTAGAGGAATCCCCTGGAGATTTTTCTGCACTCACTGTCTTCAGTTCCTCATGTACCATTCATTCTTCATTTCTAATAGTCTGGGGTTTTTTGTTTGTTTTTTTTAACGTGATCATGGTACCATAGAACTAGTCTTCTGTCTTACCTGAGTTCTATGACAACAAACCTATCTGGTAGGTCCTACCCCTTCTCTATATACCATTATGAGTTACTCTCTCTGTGGAGTCTTTAAACATCATTATTCACCAAAGGTCTTTGCTCCTCTTGCTGTGTACATTTCCCAAGACACATCTCGTCTACTTCCATGACTCCATCATCCCAGCCCAGTTCTTAAGCTTCAGATCTCTGTATACAACTAACTGTTGAGTATCCCCCACTTGAATGTCTCATAGGTACCTAAGAATTCCCATTTTCCAAAATTCAACTTCCCATCATATAAATATTTGGAGAATGTAGAAACAGAGCATGGAAACTTAGATCAACTTTAATAGCTAGGCATAATATTTCCCAGAATGGAGTTGGGTGCTCACTGACATCAGAATCACTAGAAGCCTTCTTGTACACATGATAGATCAGTGTCATCAAGCTATGATAACTTTTATACTTTTCAAGATATTTAAATTTACATACATATAGTGAAATAAACATATTTGGTGTACAGTTATAAGAATTTTAATGTTTGCATACATTCACTATCACCAACAGAGTACTTAACAATTTTCATCGCTCCAAAAATTTGCTAAGTGTTCCCCTTATGTCCGACCTAACACTTCCTAATTATTGATCTCTTCTTTTCCCTATAATTTCTTTCTGAGAAGATCATATAGGGAATTATTTATATGTATATATATATGTTTTCTTAAAGATATACACATATACACATATACGTATATATATTAAAAAAACCTTTTGAGGCTAGCTTCTTTTATTTAAGCTGCGAGAATCTGATTGATGCCCTCATCTTCTCTGGGGGGGTAGACTAACCTAAACTATAATACTCTTGTGCTAGTAAAGTCGTCTTACTGCCAAAAGTATGGCTTACTTTGGGCTCTTTATCTAGACTGTTCCTAGACTGTTCCTAGGCCTTCTAATGACAATAGTGCTATATAGTCCTAAAGAAAGTATACCCAGTCCCCTTTCAGAATTTGAAGGTTTTTCATGTTTTCTTAAAGATATGCTGTATGTTATCCCTTTCTTTAGGGTTATTTCTGCAGATAACAAATCTCCATCATTGTTTGCTGTTTTACACCAATTTGGCTCTTAATATTTGAACTTACCTCAAATATGGGAAATGTATAAATGTAGTTCCATGAATACAGCGATTGTGTACAGCACTACTATTTTTTCTGAAATACTGCTTTTTTCTTTGAGGAGCCCTTCAATGCTAGTTTCATTGGTGAATTCCTACTTACTCTAGTTTATAAATTTAGTCTTTATCCTTTTTTGTTTTTTTTGTTTTAGTGTCCATGTAGTCTTTATCCTTTTTTGTTTTTTTTTTTGTTTGTTTTTTTGAGACGAGTCTCACTCTGCTGCTAGGATGAAGTGCGGTGGTGGGATCTTGACTCACTGCAACCTCCGCCTCCCGGATTCAAGCGACTATCTTGCCTCAGCCTCCCAAGTAGTTGGGATTACAGGCGCCCACTACCATGCCCAGCTAATTTTTATATTTTTAGTAGAGATAATTCTCTCACCTCAGCAATTCTAAATTATGCTCTATTATTAATGTTTAAAATTTAAAACATTAATTTGTTTTAATTTTTATTTGTTTATTTATTTATTTTTTGAGACAGAGTCTCACTCCGTCACCAGGCGCCAGGCTGGAGTACAGCGGCACAACCTTGGCTCGCTGCAACCTCCTGGGCTCAAGCCATTCTCCTGCCTCAGCCTCCCAAGTAGCTGGGATTACAGACACCCACCACCATGGCTGGCTAATTTTTTTGTATTTTTAGTAGAGATGGGGTTTCACCATGTTGACTGGGCTGGTCTTGAACTCCTGACCTCAGGTGAGCCACCCGCCTCAGCCTTCCCAGGTGCTGGGATTACAGGCATAAACCACCACACCCCAACAGTTTTTTTTTTTTTTAGAAATAAGGTCTCACCATGTTCCCCAGGCTGGTCTCGAACTCCTAGCTTCAAGTAATCTCCCTCCTTGGCTTTCCAAAGTGTTGGGTTTACAGACATGAGCCACTGTGCCCAGCCCCAACCATGATCTCTTTTCACTTATTATCACTTAGCTGGTCCTTTGTCAAGAACCGCCCCCAACCTTCGATGCATTGCAGTGACTTGCTCTCTGGTCTTCAGATCTCAGCATAGATAGCTCTTCTAGAAAGTATTTCCTAAACTAAGCCCGCCTCTAGTTGCTTTCTATGAAATCA